GTGTCTCTCTCTGTCTCTCTCTCTGTGTCTCTCTCTGGGTCTCTCTCTGTGTCTCTGTCTCTCTCTGTGTCTCTCTCTGTGTCTCTCTCTGTGTCTCTCTCTGTGTCTGTGTCTCTGTCTGTGTCTGTGTCTGTGTCTGTGTCTCTGTCTGTGTCTGTGTCTGTGTCTGTGTCTCTGTCTGTGTCTCTGTCTGTGTCTGTGTCTGTGTCTGTGTCTCTGTCTGTCTCTGTGTCTGTGTCTCTGTCGGTCTCTGTGTCTCTGTGTCTCTGTGTCTCTCTCTGTGTCTCTCTCTGTGTCTCTCTCTGTGTCTCTCTCTGTGTCTCTCTCTGCCGGCCGGTAGGAATGCAACGTGCATATCGAAGGTGCAGCATCAAAGGAGATTCGGAAGCAGCAGACATGTCATCTCACGAGCAATCCATAGACACACTGACATAGAGAGAGAGAGAGAGAAGTCAGGCCTTCCAGTTAACAAACACAACAAGTCCACACACCTGTATATGTTCATTGTAACAATAATGTATGTATACATACAGAAACAGATGCAGACGCAGTTCAGAAGCAGCGAGCCAACAAATCGACAGAGATGTGAGGATTTATGTCTGTCTCTATGCACGCATGCAAGCATGCATGCATGCAGGTATGTACGTATGTCTGTGCGCAATTGTGCTGTTACATGCTGTTGCTACGTCAATAAGCATAGCCCTGCCTCTATCCGGCGCACGACAGGCCCTGAGCTCTCGCCCACACGACCTCGGAGAACTGCTCTGCTCCGACCACTACCAGCTCCACCTCCACAACCACCAGAATGACGATGACCGCGACGCTGCGACTGCTTCATGTAATTGTAGTATGATTTGCTACGTTCTGTCTTTATACCTTTAAAACAATCACGAGTTGCCTCGTCAACATACTGCTTGAGGGTTGGAACCACACCGACTTGAACATTACCTTTCCAACCATTGCCATTGGTACTCATGCTAACACAACTATACATTGTATTCGGGTTTGCAAGGGCTGCGGGTCTTGGGATGTTTTGAAAGAACGGAACGGTTCCAAAGATGCTGGGTGCCAACCGCACCGCGTTCGCAAAAACACGCTTACTACTCCATGAGAAGACTCTGAGACTGGTCAGAATCGCATCGCAACAACGAAGACAATATTCCATAGGCATGTGCAGCACAGCGGCGATGATGAAAAGAAAAACGAGAGGCAACGATGAGCAAAAGAATCGCACAAGTAACAAGAACAGTGGACAGTATACACATGAGACACAGCATGACGAAAACAACGCTCCTGTGACATGCTGGAAATAGCAATGTGCAAGACTGGTAGCTTTTCTAGCAGAGTCCGAGCTGCCCTTTCGACATAGCAGGCCATTGGTGTAGGGGAAGCCCGGGTATTCGAGAGCCTCCTTCAAAATGATGGGGACGCCTCTGCTCCAGGCCATGTGATTATGTCCACATGTCTGCGCAGCCAATATCTCCACAAGTATCGGCAACCTCTCAGGATTTGTTGTCGAGATGGTGCTGCAGTCAAGGTGCCCAGAAACGGTGGCCAGGGCTTGGCAGGATCGCCCTGTGAAGCCTGAAGCAGAAGCACCGCGCGCTTTCGATGGGCCCTAGGACTCTCTGGCCACTGGCCTCAATCTGCTGGTCCACGGTCTCAGCCTTGGACCACCCGTGACGAGTGCATGAGAGGCAAGCCAACACTGATGCCGCGGACAATGCCGTCCTTAGCCCAACCCCCAAACTCCCAAGACGGCCTGATCTACCCACCTCAGAAACCTGAAGAAGAAGTGCTACTTGTTACCATCACAGACATAAATAAACCCTGCACCTGGGCAAGCGCGGCGGAAAAGCGCTCCGCCACCAGAGCGTTGAGGTGAACCTTCGAATGCTCCACAGGCAGGGCAGGGTAGGGCAGGGCAGGGCCCGAATTGCAATCAGAACCGGTCAGCCAGGTGCTGCTTAGACTGGGTGCTAGCGAGTCACATTAACTTTCCTGATTCGCTGAATGTACGCCTTGACGACCGCGCTGGAAGTCAGCTCTCCTTTGCCTTGGCTTGACGTGGCATCTGCTTAGCTGGCGGGTCGAAGGAGTGCGGCAGACCAGGTGCAGAGCTCTCGCTATGACGAGGGACAGAGGCAGTTGAAATTGCAAGGACTTGCCACACGCCCTGGCTTAACGGCATCACCTTTAAAGAGGACGGCGATCATTGTTTCGACAGGTCTGCTGGCGGGTAGGGTTTTTTGCGATCGCGGGGGCTTCGCAGCGCATTACCGCTTGCATTGCCCACACCGTCTTTCCTGCACCTGGAAAGACCAGAGGTGACCAGACAACGAACCCAAGGGCAAAGAAGGGCCACGGCAGCTGAGGCTCGAATGGCAGCTGCCAGAGACGTTGCGGACCAGCCCAGAAACGGAGGGCTCCCATCCCATGCTATCGGCCTCCAGAAGCTTCAAGAATGCAACGCAAAGCAACGAAGCTCTCCGGAAAACCTGTGCAGTTGTTGACTGCTCCCATCGCCTTCGTGGCCAGTATCTCCTCAGAAGCTGGGGCAGCCTCCTTAAAACGCAGAAGGCGAGAAGCAGCTTTCCCTCAGCTCCACGGCGCAAGCACCGCAGGCACCCCCAGTCCCCAGACCACCTAAATCTGCGGCGAGTTGCGAGGCGTCTCCAGTCAACACGGCCATGGCTCAACCACATCGGCTTGCGGAGTCGGGCTGGGTTCTTCCGCGGGGCATCCGGAACTCTAGGTTGAGGTGATGCTTAACGCTGCGTGAAAAAGCAAGCTCGATCTGAGCGGTGTCGGAGGCCGGAGGCTCGGCGTGGCGTTTGGATCGTATTAGCCTTCGTTGCGCTTACTGAAACTCTTCCGACTCTGACCTGCTGCAGCCGGCCTCCCGGCTGGCTGTGCTGGGGAACGACAGTTCTGAGCGGGCCCTCTTGGCAGGCCAGAGTTCTCAATCTTCTGTAGTGAAGCCGAGGCTTGAGGTGCCGGGCGAAACCATCTCAGCGAATGGAAACCCAATCTAGCCGTCACACAAGCAAAATTTGCGATATGGAACCTTGCTGCAGGACGTGTCCTCGTGTGTCTCGCATCATGCAAATTTCATGACGCCTGTGGCTTGTATCAAGCGAACTTCAGTGACACTGCAGAAACCCAAAGAATGACCATCGAAAGAAGTCCTCCCCCACAGCGCTGGGCGCAGGGGACTTCTCCAGAAAGGCCACCATTTCACAGACAAAAAGGAGAAGCCTGAGAGATCGGAGTGGAGCGTCATCAGTACGGCTTGGTGTGACAGCGTTTCAGGGTCACGAACTTCCTTTTCTCTAAGCACGTGCAAACGGGTGACAGCTAGCTCGCATCATCGAAATTCCCAACGTCACCTCTCAGCACTCTGGCGTGCTACAAAGTCTGAAAGTGCAAAGAACTCGGATAAACATGCTGAGTTGCCCGTCCCTGTAGTGCAAACGAGAAAGCACGCATCAAGTCTTGAGGTCGCTGCGTGCCTGCCGGCACACCAGCCGCCAGGCGACCGGAGTAGTATTCCTCCGACGAGACGGAGGCGGCGCAGGGCCATCAAGTTGAACGCAAAGCTGCCATGCAGTGGGGCTCTTGGAAGTGGCTGCTGGGCCCACGATGTTCGAAGAAGCGATGAAGTTTGAAGAGGCCTGCTCCCCCGCAAGCGCCAGGGGCCTCGGCGTGCCGAACTCGGCTTCGCAAGGCTCAGGATCGATTCCAACTCCCGATTAAAATGGATTGTCATGGTGTCGCCCCTCCACACCCTGCAGCTAAAGATCCCTAAGCCCCTAAGCCTACCTTTGGTTAGTAGTTAGTAGGGAATGAAGGAATGGGGGGTACTGCTATACTTACTACTACTATCCTTCTTCCATGCCCTACTAACCAAAGGTAAGTAAGCCGACCCCCCCCCCCCCCAAAGGCCAAAGGCCCTAAGCTCCCCGCGAGCCCCCCGTCGGCAAGCCCTGCCAGGCCCAGACCTCGGCTTCGGCGTCGGCTCGCTCCAGGGAGGAGGGAGGAGGGATCTGCCGGATCTGCTTCTCTTCATAACCTTTTGGGGCCCTTTAGACTAAAATTATTGAAGAAGAACCCCCAAGAATAGCATTGGTGAGGAATGAGCTTAGGAAAAGGGGGCTTTGGCTGCTGTGACTTCTTGGAGGTGGAGGGCAAGAGCTACAGGACGGCTGAACCTGATCATTCAATCACCAACTAGGTAGTGTGATAAGTTACCTGCATATGTTTGGTGCTTGGAAGAGGGCCATGAAACGACGGAGCCAATCTCGGGCGACACGTCGCGCTTTCGAGCTGCCTTTGCACTCCTCGGGCCAGGTCTCTCAGTATTCTACATCCTGGGCAGAGTCTCAACAGATCCTGGTAGAAGCGGATTGCCAGCCGCAGCCACACAACGGTGGGGAAGCCACCTGATGCAAAGGGAACAATCTGGTGCTAAGGAAGCACTGCCGAAGCACAAGCACAGCAATTTTGATAAACTGAAATCAAAGCCCTCACGAATGCATCACTACCCTCACATTGACAATGTAGTAGCCAAGTGTCCACTGCAACATCGTTACTCCTATAATTGAGTGCGAAGCTCTTTGCGTTTGGGACTTTGTTTGCCAGTTAGGTTTAGGTGGGAGTATTTTAGTCTCACAACGAGTGGCAGCCTCTGCAAACGAGGACACCGTCTCCCAGCCCGCAGCTTTCCAGGAGTGTGAAAAAGAAATAACCGAAGAGTCGCAGATCAAGGTTTACCGGCAGGTCAAACATGTTGCCTCGACAAACCGTCACAACATGCTGGGCTTCTGTCTCGGGCAACTCTGCATTACATTCTCCAGTGAAGTGCTTCCACTGAATCCAGGCATATCCAGGAGAAACCCCACAGAAGACCGGCACCTTGCTTCGTGCCGGGGATTCGCCGCGCTTTCAGCCACATCCTTCTCAGCAGCATTGTTGCATTGTTCAGCTCATGGGCTTTACGACACCACTGCACCGGGTAGGTTGGAACGGCCAGGAGTACTTTTCATCCTCTGGTTCACGCCAACAGAAACTGACAAGGAGCCATCCGCCTCAGAGACTGGCCTGAGGCTGCCACTTCACAAGGCGGAGCATGGAGGAAAGCTCGGGCCCAGCAGTTCGCCTGAATGCCCCAAGACACGGCCGTGACCCTTGCGTCTGTGTTCGCTCTTCCTCTTCGTCTTCTTCTTCCTCGCATGCCTCTTCTCTGTCTTTTAGGCCTAGAAACAAGCGTGGAAACATGCTTTGCCACCTGCCAAGCGTTTATTCCAACCCAATCATGGCAACCGATGCCCGGGACCGCGGCACGTGTGCTGAGTCCCGAACAGAGCATAGCGAAACAGCAGAATGTCGCGGATGGAAGACATCTGGTTCCTCGGGCCAGCATTGCCAAAGCACAGGTGTCAGATGGAAGGCTTGTCAGAACCCGCTGAGGCCGTGGGCAGTGTCACATCCACAGAAAGGCCTGCAGGGCTTGCCCGGCAATCTGGCAATCTTCTCACATCTTGGAAAAAATATGCTCTGGGCAGTGGCTCGCCTGGATGGAAAAATCCGGGAAGCACAAACCCCTCTGCAGAAGCGACATCCCCTCGCCTGCCATTCGGAAGGAGAGCAGCGGAACGGCGACCTGCACCAGGTGGGACACCTTGTGTTTGCTTCTCAAACTTGGCAAAGGTCGTCAGGGACAGAGAAATCTATATTGGGTGTAAAATGTAGTACAGCATTCGTAGATTTCCGACCTATTTGAGCTCAGCTTTGAGAACTGAAGCAGCCGAAAGCACGGCCTGCTCCAGCAGTATCACATCGACGGCCTCCCCGGCCTGTCCAGAACCGCGACCCTGCGGATCATCACTGCACTCTGGTGCCTCTCTTTACCTCTCAGCTCGCACCAGCTGCCTTCAGCAAATCCTCTGTCACGGCGGCCAGGGCTGTCTTGGGATTCACCTCAGATCAGAACCCACACAGTTCACGACAGCGCCAGGTGAGAGCCTGAGCTTACCGGCCTCAATGTCACAGCAGAGCACCAGGTCTAGGTCAGACCTTGTAGTCACTGGATGTAGAGCCGCACGGCACAGCTTGCGCTTTGTGTAGGGTCAGGGCTTCTGGCGGTGTTGCAGCCGGCGCGGCACAAAATCCGACCAGCGCTAGTCACTACTACACATTCAAGCCAAGCTCCTCACCCTCCGACGTCTGCACCCAAACCTTCAAATGCTGCCAACGGTACAAATGTCTTCGGACACCGACTGCTCATGTTGGATCAATCGGCCGGAGCCCCGCAACAGCAAACGGTAAGGCACAGATGGAAATTTCCAAACACTTGGGCCGTGGCCCATGCTGCCGGCTACAACAACCTTCGGGTCGGGACCCAACACGTCCAAGGTCTGAACCTCATGATGGACCATGGAAGGAAACGCAAGGCTTCCGAGTCAGGCGAGCTTCCGGTAAGCTTCAGGCCAGTGCCGAGACCTGCCCCACTTCAGCAGTCGTTCATGGTACTCAGGCTTCTCCTTTCACCGACCTAGCCTGTGCCAGAACGTCTCGCACTTGGCGCGGCAATGGAGGCAGCGGCGACGGTGGAGAGGGATGATCCATCGCACCTGCAGAACCGATACCGACAATCCAGCTACAGTTGCTTTTCCAAACTCCACAGGAAATCACGAACATTGATTCAAGACAAAGTTTGGGTCCAGCCAAGCAGCGCAAAAAGTCGAGAGGCAGCCCGAGTTCACAACTCTCCCGCAGAGTTTCGAGCATCGACCGGAAGGCACCGTGCGATTGCTCGTCCATGTCCTTGTCGGCCTGGAAAGCAGCCTGGTGCTTTGGAGAGTAGACAGAGCGAATGCAGTCCACAAAGCTGGGCAGGTCGTCGAACATCCTCTGGTGCCACCAGACAAATCCCCAGAGCTGAATCCAGCAGCGGTGTCGGCGCGAGACAGGTACGTGTAAGTACCGGCATTTAGGTTTGAAGCAACCTGCCGGCGTCTGGGCAGCCCAGCAGATGCTGGTCATCTGCAGCGGCACCTCCTGGGCCGGGGTGCTTCCGCTTCCAATCTGCGAGGACTTTAGGATCTCCCGGAGCTGTCGAATGGTCTCTGCCGTTGAAGTGTGATGGACAAAGATGCCACCTCGAGCTTCCCAGGCTTCGCGCAAGTCCCCGCGATCGTCGATCAACACGCAGCCCTGGCCGCTGAACTTCTGCTTGTTCCGTGTTCCACAACAGTAGACCGCCACCTCAGAGCCCAGCTTCTCGTGGCACCACTGCTCCTTCTGCTTCGCTGCCATCTGTCCTGCTCGGCCCATCGGGAGGCCAGTGAGAACTGCTGGACTGGACACGATATTCCAATCAATCCATCTCCAGAGCTCTTCGCCATCTGACGTCCAATCAAGCGACAGGAAGAAGTCACTCTTTTCCTCAATGCGCCGCCACATCTCGCCCTCCTCGTGCGAAAAACGCTTTTAGCAGGCAATGATCGGGTTGGAGCAGACTCAGGTTCTCAGAAGTTCCCTTTGCTAGTATGCTGAAGCCTCTGACACCAGGATCTGTGTGACCACTCCTTACCTTGAGAATTGGTGGAGTATTGGCCTTGGGATGTAGGGAGGAATGTTGGGTCACGACCTGCGGGAGTTTCGATGCCCGAATGATCTCGCACCTACCGC